CACCGCCATTGCTAACTTCACCCAATAAAAACAGGTAATGTTTCCACGTGAAGTCGCGAGTGTATCCCGACCGTTATGTTGTGAAATCAGACAGATGGTAAGCGCCTGTTCCCAAACTGGAAAGATCTCGCCGTTTGCACGCAACAATCACATGAGAGAATCACGCAAGAAACGAACTGTGTCACTTTTTAATTCGTGTTTTTCAGTACAGTACATTGCAAACAAAGATAAGACAGTGTAGCAGTTTTTGACATGTTGCTACAATGTCTATTGCAGTTTAGCCGCTTGGCAGAAAGAAAACTGACGAGAAGCATTTCAGGTTTTAGGTCCCTGTTAGGTCCCAGTTAAAATTAAAATAGTTTTAGCAGGTGGCTTAAAAATCTGGTTCACGGAGGAAACGTATGCGTGCGCTTGTGGTTGTCCAGGGGGCGAAGGTGAGTCCAATTCACATCAAAACCGAATTCGGGCAGGCTGAACAAATACAAACAGTCCAGTATGAGAAGGGGTAGTTCACCACTTGTTTCGGGTGCATCCGAGTTTTTCTTTACAGCACAAAAGATTGCTGAACTTCATGAGTGGAAAAGCAAATCTTGAATGACAGATTGATGCAGTGAACAAAGAGTTCTTGAAACATTGGCGGAAAATCTCCCAAAATGTCACAAGTGTGTTTACTGATCTTCCTAAAAGCTGCTTGTCTGAAGATCCACTAAAATAAGCTGATTGCGCACGTCAGTTCAGTGAGTGACTGACGGCCGCGGGAAACCACATTAGCAAATGCTAGTTATTCGGCAGATAACGTTAGGAAGATTTTGGAATTTTGCCCCGTCGGTAGAGATAATCTTGGGTCATAAACTATGAAGTATTGGACAGCTGTTTCATATCTATTGTGAATCACAACCAGTGAGAATTGCAGAGTTCTCTATAAGTATTTCAACTCATAAACTTCAGACTGATAGTTGAAGACAAGACTGCTCTTTTAGAAGCGGCCAATCAACGGTGTGAATAGCTAGACAGCATATATCGCCACTCGTCCTTAACTCCAGTCAAATTCTGTTTTTGACAAATTAGTTTCATCTTTGTAATATTTAAGCCCTTCGTGGCCAGGCTGTTTTCGGTCACTAGCTCACAGGTTGCAAGATCGAATCACCCAGAAGCTACGCAACTTTGCACAGCTGAAACAGCTGTACTGTGCCTGATAACATTTCATCGCGTAAAAGTCCAGTCAAAACGACAATGTTAGGAGTTGTGAGTTTGAAAGTCAAAACAGTCCTACACTCGAGAAAGAGTAGTGTGTCGGCGGATCCGCGTGCATGACTCCATCGCCCTCGGTGAATCCTTGAAGCAATGCAGGTGAGTTTCGTTTCTGATATAATATGATCTGATCAACCGGCGCGTTCGCGTAAAGCAACAGCGATTTGAATGGAGTACTAGAAAAATTGCTATCAGACCACGAAACGTGAACCTCATTTGTGCCGCATTAACAGAGAACAGCGCAGAACACTGTGAGTTCAAGGCCGAAGCTCAATCGAGTACCATCCAGTGGACGACAGGAGAGACCATGCTAGAAAAGCACGCAGTTATCGATCGAATAGAGAACAGCGTGAGGCCAACTGAGAAAACCACTCTATCAATCACTCAGAGGCGTAGGTCAGCCCCAGTTGACAGCACGTACATTAGCACATGCGCATTACTACTAAAAGCGCAGCCAATGATGCTCCGCTACATCCTTCCCACAAATACTACAATAATGAGGTCACCTCTATTGGTGATGAACTGTTCGCAAGTAGATTGCCTAACTCATCGAATAACCTAATGGCCAGGAATTTGAAAACTTAAGATGGGTCTCCAACCGTTTTTGCTGTCCCTCCTCTCCAAACTTTGCTGTCTTTGTCTTCCTCGGAACAACAGCTGATTTTTTTCGAAAGAAATTTATGAAATTATTTTCGCCAACCAGTTGTCAACTTCTCAAATTGCAGGCTATGCAGTGACAAGGATTAACCAATAAATGACCACCGAATACCTCTACAAGGCGGTGTGCTTTGCCAGATAAGCCGTGTGTCATGTCCACTAACAGCTGAACCCAGAAGAGAAAGGGTCTGGCACCGGCAGACAAAATTAAACGGCAGTGACAAAGTTCGATGGTGATGTGAGGAGACCAGTTGCAATTTTTTCATATAAGTGAAGCGAATCCATGCTGAAAAGTCACGAAACCATGTACAGTTATTTTATTCTTATTGTGTGTATTTCACGATAAAACTAACCAAATCAAGTTATGTATGCGATGAATAATAAATGTCAAGGGTGTGTGTGTGAGGGCGAGATGGCGTTGGAGAAACCGTTAACGTGAGCCAACGGTTGACGACAAGCAATGGCGTCGTTGAAGATTGATGACATCACGGGCATCTAAGGCGTGGTGGCCTGAATTTCAGGCTGACTGGGAGAAAATGCATTAAGCCTGTCACGTGGTCTAAGGATAAACGCTGAGGCTTTCATGAAAAGCAAACCTAAGTCCAATCACGGAAGTTCCAGAGCGATATACAATACATAGAATGACCATCGGAAATGACCAATTTAACTCGCTTAGAATCATGGGAGGGTTCATGGAAAATTCATGCCAGTCTTATGACCAAGTCATTTTAGAAGAGTTCGTCTTCCCCTGGTTTAAACCGTAACCCGCTTTGGAAAATGCTTACACTGAGTTGGTTTGTTTGTCAAAATGCGCGCTTAGCTGCGGCATTTGTCTGAATTTAGCCAACATCGCTCCGGTGTGAACCACATAAAAGCTTTTTCATTGAAGGTTCATTTGCACGCCTTGGATGCGTTAGTGTGACAGCCTTTCAATAAGCCCAGTATTTTGAGACTCACTGAGGTTCAACTGCCTAAACGAGCGCTGACGTCCCTGGGAATCTATAAAGAGCTCCAGGAGACCTTCCACTGAGGCCTCTATGAAGTCACTGAATTCGATTCTGAACAAAGGCAATATGTTTCTCCCAGAGAGAGATTTTAAACTCCAGGAAATCGCTCAATTTGGCGTTAAGTGGTACCGTTTATAGAGGCACTAGACCTGAAAGTAGAGCAGTTTTTGAGCAACACTGAAAACCTGTCTTCTTTCGCGGATACTCCCGTGAGCAGTTAATTTACTCCTGGCAAGAACAGTTGGCAACCAAATTCATGTGGAATGCCCGAGTTGTCAAGTCATGCAATAGAAAAAATCCAGTTCTAGTGTTTGGTTGCACGTATGAAATACAACCGCCAATTTTTTTGGTGGGGTACGCTTCGGAAGTACCGCTTTTTCCCAAGTCCTTTTGACTTGCATTTGGGTAACAGCTTCATCGACAAAATATTTTCCATTTTTAACCCGGAAGCAAACATTGACTGGTCTGTGTTGCGGTTTGTCTTCGGGATACTTTCTATTTCAGCCAACCAGAGAACGATACTTTCTACTGCGAAAACTATTTGTCTTTTCTTTTTCCCGATGTACGAAAAAAATCCGTACACCATTTTTTATTCTTTTATATTGGAATTACTAAGTAAAAATAAAACTGATCTGTAATACCTGGTGCCTAGCTGTTATACCACCCGGAAAAAGCACGAAGGCTGAGATACCGTCAGATTGCCCCAGGGATGGAAACAGGGACCTTCAGGTCAGTAAGTTCGAGTCTTAACCACTGAGCTATCGCTGCAAGTGTTTACCCGGATCGCACGTCCAATCTCTACCGGTGGGAAGCGGTAAGTACATAAAATTTCGGCTTGTCCTAAAACAGTGGTGATTATCGAATGCCTAAATTTCACCGGAATCGATCCGATCTATCGAGCCCCGTTTATGTCCACACATTATGATCATGTTTGATGTTTCGACATTGAGAACAAACTGACCCGCAGGTAGCCCGGTGGAGAGTATCCAATAAATGACTGTACTCACTATAAAGATCACAATTCTGGCCTTGGTTTTTACAAGTTGTTGGAGGTGGAATTTATGTAAACTAACTCCATCACTCGTTTTATATTGTAATTTGCATAAATGAACCAGATGATGTTAAGATTTCTTATTTAAAGTAGTCTATCAAAACTGATCTACTTTCGAAGCCGTTTCACAATGGAGGTTTCGATGACCAATGAAAAGTTCGAGGGACTACCAAAAACGATTTTTGTTTTATGGATGGTCTCTACAGAAACGGAGAATGGGGAACCGTCGGAGATGGTATACACGTCTACAAGTCGACACATCTTTGTGCACACACCTTCCTGTCCACATGGTCAGATTTGACCTTACTTCCCAAGTGGATTTCCCCATCAGGCATTGGTTAAAAAATCGTCAACTAAGATGCAGATAGTGATTTATCTAACTTGGTCTGATGAGAAAGTGCAATATCCTAAGCGCTCAGTGTTAAGCAACAAGTCATTTTCACCGGAACGATAAATATATGCCCATGCTCAGTTAGTTCGTTTCATAACAATTTGTATTCCAACTTGAAGCGTTTGAATGAGGCGAGATCCATAAATTAAGTGGAATTGGCTGTAGAACCTTTCGGTGAGGAGCTGCAACGCAACAGGGAGTTCGGACAACGCTGGTTTTTTTTAGTGAATGACAATAATCAAACTGCTGTGAAAAAATTCGAATCACCAGCCTGCTTCCTTGGGTCTTACCTCTCAAGCTTTGTAAGGTATTCTCAAAAGGAGGCCTGGCCATCCGGCATAGATGGGTCCATCGTTCCAACTGTTATCATCTCAGATCCGTCTGTCTTTCATAAGCTACTAATAACTGTACCAAGGCTTGGGCACGGAAATCCTGTAAGATTAGGCGAGCTGTTGATCGCACGCAGTACCGTTGGCCATAGGCAAACTAACATATTCTAAATTTTCTCTTGGTAACCCAACTCAGGATATTGTCGAGAAACATTTCCTGTGAGCCGCAGAAACTCTTGGTAACCCAACTCAGGATATTGTCGAGAAACATTTCCTGTGATGCCGCAGAAATAAACATGGTCAGTAGGAATACGCTCAGACCTATGTAATGGTAAAGAGTACATACTTCCTTCGAAAATACGAGTAAGACTTCAAAACAGAAGGGAAGAAAGAAACGGACTGAGATCAATTTTCCGACAATGTACCACAAGTGACCACAAATTGTCAGTAACACCATCAAAATTTTTGTTAGAGCCCTGTGAGGTGTGATTCCAGCATTTCAGATCACTTCATCAACCTTTCTCGTTCGAAAGCCATTGTGACCAGGTCGTCCTTGTGCTCTGTCAAGCTTGGATAAACAGAAGTAGGCAGAATGGAACTGAGTACATCTGGTTTTCGTAGACTCGTTCCGGCGTTGAGTTCAGCCTCAAAATCGAACAGCTGACCCAGAAATGAAAAATTCGGAGAGATCACAGAACGTTTCGATTTCACCAGAAGATAGGCATCGCGGAGTGATAGTTGAGAATGTGCCATCAGGTAGGCGATTACAAGTGAGGGTGAACGAGAAACTCCAGCTTGACAGTGAACGAGAATGTTGCATCCTGAGAGGCGTGATTCCTCTGCAATTTGAAAAGGTATAAAGCAGAGCGAAATAAATACACAAATATCAGAAAAGTGGTGATTTTTTTATGGTGGGGGAGAGTTATCGAACCCTGGTTCACCGAATACGAATTATTTATGTTCCGAATGTGGACATACAGTTCCAGGAATCGTCTATAAAAACATTCCATGGCCCCAACAATAATAAGAGTTTTTGCACACAGCTTATTGACAGTTACGCGGTGGTATGCATGTTACATAAAGATCATTGATACCTCAAACAGTTCATACCAGGTTGTGGGCTTGTTCACCAAGCTAGTTAGTTGTTTCGGGCAACTAGACAGTTCTCGTTTAAATCTGCAATCGCATAACAAACAACGAGGATTTGTAAGCGCTAAAACCGCCCACAAATATCTGTAGTTGGCTTGATACCTCAAACAGTTCATACCAGGTTGTGGGCTTGTTCACCAAGCTAGTTAGTTGTTTCGGGCAACTAGACAGTTCTCGTTTAAATCTGCAATCGCATAACAAACAACGAGGATTTGTAAGCGCTCAAACCGCCCACAAATATCCAGTAGTTGGCTGTTAGACACGTCACCGCCCAACTACGTCTGATGAGTCACCAACCAGGACACTGGTGGTGACAATCTATGACCGTTCCTCTGACGGACACTAGAATCTTACCAGTTTTGTTACTTCAAAATAATCCACGGTAGCTGTAAAGTGGACAAAATGGGGTAATCCTCCTAGATAGACTCCTTTAGAGAGAGATGGCGTTCTCCGACAGACAATTTTGTGCGACCTCACAAGCCAAAGAGGAAAAAAGCCATAAACTCCTACTCCTGGTGATACCCCCCCTTCTGAAAATCACTAATTAATTTTGTGTGCTGAGGACAGTGAATCAGTACACTGAAACACGGATTCTGACTACCTGACAGTTTCAGTTGTAACCAAACACAATAAAACCGATAAAGTTGAAAAAGAACATTCAGCCTTTCGGTGGCTAACTGCCATACAACCAGAAGGAAACATGAGGACTGGATACTGCAAGGTTGCCCAAGCATTGACACGGGAAGTCGAGAGGCAGAGGTCGGATTCGAACCATCAACCTACCGGTCAGTAAATTCGCGCTCTAACCACTGAGCCATCTATCCCTCAATACAGTTGAGATTGCAGCGTACTTTGCTGTTTTGGTCACCTTAACAGATGTCAGTGTCGCAGATTTTTTCCATCTTCACGGAAACTTGACAATATCAACTTCCTCAATGTTCGGTGAATTTCCACTTTTATAGAGTGATGTGATTCTTCTCCCTATTTATAGTCCACCCTATCAACGAAGAGGCACCAAACCACACTATTTCACGCCCCAGAAGAAAGTTCAAATGACAAAGTCAATGTGACGTTACTATTTGCAACCTGTCTGCTCAATAATGACCACATTGGTAACGTTGAATCCTAGTTTGTACTCAAAAGAATCGCCGTATGAACAAACAACGGATGAACAAGCACAAATTTGAACTATCGAAAAGAATTTATCTTCCCGACTTTGCTTCACTTGCTTATACTTCACTTTATTTACTAGCTTATGCTTTCAGTACCATCAGGCATATCAGTATCTGACAGTATGTATACGATGCTACCTATAAGAAATCCGCCAGAAGATGCGATACACCTCCGAAATGTCCACAGCTAACAATTCCCGCCGGATCTATACTGGTTGCCGCAACCGCCCCAGAGATATCACAGTTTTATACTCCGAGAAACAACCTCATACACGAAGCAAGGCCAGGGAGCCGGTGATCTACAGGAGTGTTCGGAAACTTCGTTCTCGTGACCGCATGACCATTGATGCCTCCAAATCATTGCTTTGGTCTTCTGCAAACGCTGATGGGAAGTACTCACGTACAAAGGAGGAGTTTCCGTTTGAAATGCCTTGTTTAAATGAATACCAGAGAACTGCGTCCTACGGAATTCTACTCATTAACCTGCTATATCCTGATAGCTAGTCAGTAGTGCACAGTTCCATTCACTAAATCTACTGGTTCTAGATGGATAAAACTGACAGCCGACATAATCATCCTAATTTCAAGCCACTTTTAGATGACTATGAAGATGACGAGTCTACTGAGTCGTTTGATTTTTGTTATATCTAGCAATGTGAGTAAACCACAAATCGTAAACTGCATCGGATTCCAACCAAGTCAACACCAAGGACCTGAAAATCAGCTGAACATAACAGTTCGTGTGCTCATCGACATCCTCAGCGGACACGGGGTTATCTAGGTGTCCTTGTTAGTTGAATCCAAAGTTCATTAGCATACAGGTGTGTGGGTGGATGGTCCTGTCCGATCCACATCACAGTGAACTTCGGCGATGAATCAGCAAGGTAAACACGTGTTACTCAAGCTGAACATAGTTATCTCAATAGCCGCTGCGTTGGTAGTCGAAATAACCATCGGTGCGTGCTGGTCGTCAGTCCATCTATCGATCGGGTGTCCATCGTCAATCAGACAAGCACGGGTTTGCAACGGCAGGTTGGACCAGTGGACAGTGCCGGTCTAAAACAGAATCATGAACCGCCCGCCTACACAACCTTGTCGAGAAGGCCACATCCAACGTTGCACCAAATATACCAAAATGCTACAGTATGGAGCATTTGGGCCATATGATTCTTTTCGGGACACCGACACATCCCTCATGGCTTATTCTCCAATAGCCAGATGGGAAACAAGGAATTGACTAAACACACAAGCCCGTTAGTTTATTCCCAAAACTCGTCATCAAAACATTTCCTGTTCCCCATGTGGTCTACAAATGTATGTCTACAGAACCGTAATCGAGCTCGATGTGGTAAGCGTTGGTTGTTGACTGATACTTCCTGATAGCTATCAAATAAAAAAGATTTGAAAGGAAGATAATTTGAGATTGAAAAAAATTATCCACTACTCTACAGTTGTAGAACAGAACTGTGTGGGTGGCCAAAATGACTGTGCTATACATGTGCGCTTTTGCAGTGTACTTTTCACCGCGTGGTTTGTTCCCACACGAACCTAAGACCACTAAATACACCTGCAACACGTCTAATCAACAACATCGAAATTCGATCCCATAAACGCTGTCTTTTGGAAGCATACCATTACTAACCATAAGCATGGAGTTGCCCGAATCTCTCACCTGAGAAGTCATCACTCTGGGAGCCAGTCAAGGCATCACTATGTGATGTGATCTACGAAACCGAGTTGAAAGACACTTCATCCAACCGAATTCGTTGCTTGACCCAGCTTGACATTAAATTTATTTCCAAACGCTTTGAACCTACAACCTGAATCAATTCCACTTTAACCAGATAAAACTAACGCAAATCTCTTACGTGAACCAAAACAGATTCAGAAATGTCTGTTTAAGACGTAACACACCACACATACGATTACCAAAAACTCTTCGCCCAACCTAAAGAGGGGATTTAGGTGGATTCAGCCGAGTCCCCCGTCAAAATAGAATTTTCGAGTGGAGATGAGAGTACTTTCTAGACCAAATGAAGTCTTTCAAAGAGGAATACTCTGCAATAAAAAAATATGAGATGAGAAGGACGTTGGGGGAACTAAAAATAGAATGCGGCTTGGCGTTTGGGCACAACTAGAATGACAGTGTTAATCATAATGGACCGTTCCTGTAGGAGACCATTCATCGGTCTCAGGTTTTGTTTTCGGTTTAGATAATAACTCCTTGAAAAAAGTTTGACCCCGTTATCAGGGGAAAAAATACTATGTATGGAGACGACAGTGTGGGTCATACTGATATGTTTCTTCCTTTGGGAGATAACCAGAAGTGAAAGCCATACTAAAGGGAGCAAAAAAAATTCTTGGGCCATTTTCAGTCATTTAAATCCGCTCAGTTGAATCCGCATGCTGCGAATCCTTTTTGCACTGATACATCCCGACATTCTTGTCACATATTGCTGCGGTTTCAGCAGACAAAATCACAAAACAAAAGTAAACGGCTGTTTTCTTACTCTGTAGATTTATACTAGTACAATCCAAACGGTTTATTTTTGGGAACTTCTTTGGCGCACACTAGGGATTTTTACTGGTAAAATGTCCTAATCATAAACTAGATTGGAAGAATCAGTAAAGCTTGTCAGGTAAGGTTTTGTTCTAATTTGAATGCTTTCCGAAATCTCAACGCTCAATCGCTCGTTTTCCAGCTAATTACTACTACTATATTATCATTTATTTTTGAAGAGCATGATCACAAACATAAAAAGTGAGTGCATTCAGGCGAACTGTCTGTCAACGTTTTGCACTCACTCAGGAGCACTTCATACATCCAAAAACACCTGCGTCATCCAGATTTTGTCCGAAACAGAGTGAGCTTTTCAGTGTATCGATCTCTAGTTTTAGTAAAATCCACTGAAATAAACTCCGGTTAAGTCAAACTAACATTAGAATCGTCAAATTGCATGCTGAACTTGACACGTGGTGTGAATCACGTGAGGAGAAAAAATTACTGTCTGGCTAATTGGACAGCGACTTTTTCAACAAGACCAGTCTGAAAGCAAACCTGAAAGCAGTAAGTGGGTGTGCACTCAAAACTTTCGATTAGGGTAGAGATTAAAACCTCCAGTCACTATTGTCTGATGCTCCGTATTCGGACGATTGGCTGAAACGGAATCAATCATGGTAAGTTATTTTCCATTTTGCGGGCTCTCAGGAATTCGCTCAAGCTTTCGCAATGCGTCGTCGTTTGACAACTTTTTCTGTCTTCACAAAAGCAGTCAAAATGAACAATACACGGAAATAGTCTAGTGTGAGATTGTTTTTATCCAAGATCTGACGGGAGGACGGGTGTTGCAGTCGAACTGAAAAATATTTCGAACTTCCGAATTTCCATTAAGCTAGGGGCATGCATGAAAAGAACTCGTTTCAAGCTTTGAAGGTTTGGGTGAAATACTTGTGTTTGGACCTTAGTTTCGCGTACAAACGGAATTTGCTCAGATGTTACCACTCACGTGGCCAGACGACAGCACTTCATCTTCAGACCAGTTAGTTTCGCGATTATTTTGACTTTTTTATGTCTATTTTAGCCTGACTGAACCCGGTCTTATTTTCATTTGATTTTGCGTGTCCAACGTATGTTGGAGTCAGGAGAAGACATAAGATAAAGTAGACTTGCTCCTCTTCTATTAGGCCTAAGTGGTCTATAGGAAATTTCCATCTGTCATCGCAGTCAGAAGTCGATTCAAGCGTGCATGTGTGGAGTACGCAATCGATTTATTCAACTCAGGGCTGTTCACTTATTCATCTGGCCCCCAGTCGCCTAGACAGTCAAGGTCAGGGTTTAGTTGTTGGCTTGTTCCCCGAGCTGGAATGCAAATGTTTCATCACCAATCGAAATGACATAGTCAGTGCGGGTTCGAGTGTCACCGCGATTGGTGATCAAAACGTTTGCAATCCAACCACCAGACTCGGAGAACAGACCATTAACCAATCAGCGCACCCGAGCTACCTATATTCCACAACACTGACACGGTCAGGGTATCTCCGGAAACGTGCAGTACGTATCGTCGTACACTATTTTTTTCCAGAAAGGCTAACGCGAGATATCAAGACGGGCAGCTTTCGGAAAGCTTCAGTGGTTGTCTTCGAAGCGTAACACTTTCTCCTCCCTCTCTAGGTCGAGAAACTGAAACCCAAAACACCGAAATGAATACATCTTCAACCATTCAGTCTGCTTTACTTCGTAACTGGTTGTTGGCTAACCAGTCCCCGTTATTTACTGAGGGGAAAAGGGCTCGGTCTACGTGCTGAACCACAAATATTGGCGATGCCGGTAATAGGCTATTGAGAGTTTTCATCGGCTTTATGAGTACTACTGGGATGTTTTCCTGTTTTCAAAAATAGGTTCTTTTGAACTGTTCTCCCCAGCTTTACAATCACGGTTGGAAGGTTAAGAATACATGAGTGCATGGTCGTTAATTTTGTGTCATAAGAAACGATACAATTGGATTGTTTAGAAGAATGTAAACAAGGCTACGCCCAAACAGACGTTGTTTTTTGTGGTCACGTTTTTAGCCGAAAAAACAACCAGAGGGTCAAAAAGTAGGCAGGAGGTTCATTTAGCCAAACCATAGGACTTAAGAAAATCTGCACAATTTCTGGACTTCTACACAGTGTTTTGAAAATAAGAAAATCGTTCAGCTGTAACACCCTTCCTATGCCTAGCTGCCATGCAACCCGAAGGAAGCACGAGGCCTAAGATATTGCCAGATTGCCGAAGCCTAGACAGAGGGAATCGAGAGGTAGAGGTCGGGTTCGAACTACGGACCTTCCGGTCAAGAAATTCGCGCTCTAACCACTTAAGCCACTTGAGATTCAGCGCAGATGCGTGATTGATGTATAGCTGAGCGGGCGACAGTCACAAGCAAATTAAAGGCGTCTACGTAAAGCCCACCCAAAATCCCGACACGTACGTCCCCACAACTGGTACACATTCAGCCCTAGGATGAACAACGGACCGGGCAACCCAATTCAGTGGTCCCCAGACCAACACATGTTTTATGGGAACTGTGGTGGATAAATTAGTTAGGAATTTTACGAAGTTCACGTGACTGTTCTGAACTGTTTAGCCCTGCCTTCCTAATTCCTTGAAAACCATACAAGAACCTTCTGAGATATGTAGCCTGAAAGTTTAGTACACAATTTCTGCACAAGGCCAGTTCAACCTTCCCAAGTGTTCGGTTCTTTCTCATCTGAAGCATATTAAAGTTAAGAACAGAGTTGTCTCCACAAAACCGGTACGCAATTGCTTATTGCTGTTGAAGGAGTCGACAAATCGCAGCATAACAAACGAAATACCTGGAGTGTGCAAAATATGGGTCCGGGTAGCCAGTGGCGCAAACCACCGGGTTCGGTTTCGACGCCACGGGTTCAAACCCACGCACTGATGTCGCCAAGTTGACACCCAAACACCATCTTCAAAATTACGTTCATCCGTTTGCAAAATGAGGCGAGATGGACTAAGTGGTTAGAGCCTGAAATTACTGACCGGAATGTCCATGGTTCGAATCGGATCTCTGCAACTCGACTTCCCCTGTCTAGGTTGTGGGGACCTGGTACTATCCCAGCCATCGTGCCTCCTTCGTGCGGCACGGCAGCTAGGCACTTAAAGGGTGCTACATCCGAACGACTATTTATTTTTTTATTAGCTGCACACTAATTCGGTTCCAGCGGAAGATTTAACTGGGTCCAACTGAATCACTCATTGTCGAAGAGGTTTCAGCAACCTTATAAGTAGTGTGTCCTGTCGTTCCATTGGTAGAACACTTAAAAACACATTGTTTTTCAAATATAATCCACCAATTAGTTACCTAAAAGTTTTTGTACACGAGAAGAAATGAAAATTTCTAAAAGTTATTCTACTGCTTCCTGATATATAAAATCGACTTCTGACCACATGAGCGATAAAATTTGCCTGGAAATAAACGAGCAAATTTTTCATGGCATGTCGTGGGGTTGATTTGCACAGTCACATGCGGCCATTTACCACTCTGCGTCATCACTGCAAGTGGCAAAATCAAACGTGGGCTTGGAGTATACCACAAGTTTGTTTCTAACAATTGAAAACTTGAAGTGTTCAACTTAGCAGTGCAGAACTACTGAAGGAAGTCAGAATCAGGAGTAATGAACTTTTCGTGCAAAACAAAGTGATCCACTTTCTTTTCGATGCCAATCTTTTTGGGTCAGTAACATCTAATGCTTTGGCAGTAAAGCACTATATTCGTTGGACGGTGTGCGCAACAAGATCTGCTTGGCTTGGGCATGTTCTACCAGGACGCTGTCCTGTTGCTTGTCCACAACCAAAGAATTAATGGAAGCACGTCACGGATAGGATCGAAAATAACCTAGTAGATTCAGTGCCAAAGTCCTCAGGACAGGGTTCAAAAATCAGCTGATCTAGACAATATGGCCGATGTGCCTACAAACATACGTCAGTCAGCCTTCAATAGAGTTGGGGGTTTCAATCTCGCTTGGAGCGCCTGAAGAACTGAGGTATTTTCAGTGGCTCACGTCGCAGTTGGTGTAGGTTTTATGTAGGTGTAAACTGGACACGAGGGAAACAATGAGACTCAAACAAATATGAGGGGCACGTGCAGGTGGGTCAAAGGTCAGAACATGATGAGCACGCAATTTTCGCATACTTTTTTGTTGAGTGGGTATGCGTGAATCCTTGGATGATAAATTTTCCTATTGTCTGTAGAACCAGACGACCAATAGGCACGTGAAACCAGGACTTCAACAGTATCAAACGAAACACTGAAGAAAATGTTATGCTCCAAACAAAAGACGAATCAACTTCGTTCGCGAGTTACAACGGGCAATACACGAGCCGATGTACGGGAATCAGCAGGTGTCGTATTACAAAACTGCCGTATTGTCGACGTAAGTGATGGTGGACCTCTGACGGCCGGTTAACAACACGTGCTTACACTGCAGTGCGAGAAGGTATCCTTAATGCACTGACCGTTACCCCTTGGATATGTTAATAAAAAGGTGCAATAACTGACATCAATCAGAATGACTTTCTTCGATCTCTCTGTGGACAGACGTACAAAGTGGTCGGAACCGCGGCCAACACAGTAAGTGGAATACAACTGCAAAAGCCGTATCAATCTCTAAGACAGGCAATCTGCCGCCGAAAGTCTTCAAGTCTAAACTGGACGAATTTCTTGAAGACATGCTAACTCGGTCCTGACCAACGATTGTGGCAGATGGATTTGACGACGGGGTTCTCGCAGACTTATTCTACTGTTCTGCATCAACTGAACACCGAATCAGTTACCAGTCGTGCAGTAATCGCAAGCAACGTTCCAAGGTATGAGCAAGAATCATCTGGATAGGATACGAATCCACGGAGTACTTTTGAACGCATTCAGAACGGACAACGGTACGACAAAGATGCAATCGCAACGGACTTTTCAGCGAATCAATGCTGGTTGACCTTAGCACGGACGCACGTATGTAAAAGCATAAAACAAGTGATAATCGTTCACCGGTAACTCGCTAGTTCGTGCTCTTTTCCCTTCTACTTGACTGTAGAATTTGATTGAAATGGATCGTGCGAATTCAACTGATTCCGCAAAGAGTAACCGGTTCTTTATAAGTCTTGGTCAAACAGCCTAACATATTTGCGGGTGAAAAAAAACGTTCGAGCAGAGCACATCCTTAATACTGAAAGAAGTAAAATTGTTGACACGACTTGGCATTGATAGATTAGCCGAAGCCTGTTCGTAGAATTTTTGCACAAAGCGGGTACAACTTCCGGTCACATAAGCACACTAATCATGCCGATTACGACAAAGCCACGTGACTATTTCGCTGACAACTGAAGTTTGCAAATACAAGTTTTCATAACAAACTTTCATAACTCTTGTCGCACGATTTTGAAACGCACTAGCAGTTCGATAAGCCGTACAGTCATGAGAAGTGGAATACGGTCAAACGGTAGCTTGTTAGACTCGCTGTGGACTTACCATTAGGTACGAACACGAAAACAATGTTTTATTTTCTGATGGTAAATGTGTTCGCCAGGAAACAGAAAGATGTAGACCTAGCACTAACGAAGTGCGGTTTTCCGGCAACTAACAAACGTTTGAAAACTTTAGCACAGCGTTAGCACAGCGGTTTTCCGCGTCGATGGTTTTCAGTTGGATTACTGATTTGGTGGGACCCAGTCAGCAAACGGTCTGGTAAGCGGAGAATCTGACGCAGTCTAACGTAGAGAAAGCCCATAAATTCTCGCTGTTGAAGAAGACTTGAGAATAATCTCACTGATACGTGATCCCAACAGCACGTCTCACCTAAACCAGCTATAATGCGTTTCCTATCATTTAAGTATGTTTAAAATCGACTGATAAACTGTCTTTTCAGAGAAATTGACGAATCAACTATTTATCAAAATTATGAAAGAGGTTTACTGTGGTTTGTGATATATCATTGGACTGTATGGTACATGTGGTCTCCTTTAACAATGGCTTATTTGCTTGCGAGAAAAATATTATGGTGTGATTAACAACCTTCGTATCAAGTCACTACGAGAAATCACTCGATTCCAGTTCAGAAATCATCATCATCGACAGCATGACATCAATGTTCAAAACCGATGGTTCACTGCCGTACCGCTCATATAACAGATAGATCTTTGCACCGTTTCCATCAGTGCAGGCGAATCTACATGTTATGCCATATGACAGTGTGAGGACATACATCCCCGAGCGATGGCTTGTGTTTGTTGATCCTTGAAGTCCCTCCTTGCGTATTGAGGCTCTCGGTCGTGCTTGGGCAGTTGCAAACAGTTGATTAGGATAAGTTAATGCTACACACAGTCTTGAGTTTCTGGAATAAAACATGACTGTTTTGGGGGTCGCAGTTACGTGCCAGACTGACGAGAGTTGAGCCAAGTGTGACTGCCATGCTAACCCGATGCCAAGTGATGAGTAATATCGAGCGTTGGAACCGCCCAAAGCCATTGTTACGCTGACTAATATGCAGCTGGGTCACCGCCCAAATAGTCTGACGTGTCAATTCGTAAATGATGAGTCATCTGACTGGTGACCGAAAATTTTCGTAACCTCCCATAGTTCAGCAAATGAAGGC